ACTGAACTGCAACTCAATTTTGTAACATTTGTATCGTGTTTTTTCTGGATTTTTGGTTGATATTCTATCTCTATCATTTAAAGTGGGCAAACTTACAAAATCTGCAGAGGATCAAATTATTATTTTCCCCACTGTACCTCATTGGTGTGTTCCATCAGACCTGCAGGGACACACCAATGAATGGTGAAGGGGTGGGGAAATAGCAGTGGGGGCACAGACATCCAACATACCTAAACGTTTTGGATTGTGGTGATTCTAGCCATGCTTTTAGCTTGGTAGAATAGGGACGATTGGTGTCACCAGAGGCGAGACACTGTTGTCGAGTATTATATAGGCATTTTCCAAAGCAGTATTGAAACATATGTAAATGCAATCACTAACATCTCATACAGTATAAGCTGAAATTTAATTTTAAATGTCATTTTCAATTGTTTGCAATCTGCAGGCTTTATTAAAATAATCCCTGGTGATTCTGCCATGAAGGTACTTGTTTAGGCACTTCCTGTTCTAGGGTAACAATGCTTTATCCTTTTTCTCTCAACTGTGCTCCTCTGTCATGCCTGGAAGGTTCTACAGTTTTTAATTTTTACAGTTTTATTTTTTTTTGTGCTTTAAAACGAAAAAAAGACAGTAAATTAAAAAAAAATATACTTTTTGATATAAAACCCATTAAAAAAGTCAACAAATAAATAAATAACATTTCTTCATAAATTTAGTCCAAAATGTATTCTGCCACATGTCTTTGGTAAAAACTAAATCCCAATAAGTGTATACTAATTGGTTTCTGTGAAAGTTATAGCGTCTACAAATGGTCTACAAATGGTGGTATATAAACTGGAATTTGTATTTATTTTATACAGTGATTTATGCGGGACTGCGGTGGGCATTCTGACACTAACTGACACTGGGTGGGAACTGACTAACTTCCACTGACATCTCCAGTGACACTAATACAGTTATCAGTGCTAATAAAAGGCACTGATCACGATACTAATGACACTGGGCAGGAAGGGGTTAACATTTGGGGTGATCAAAGGGTTAGTGTAGTTTTGTGTACTGTTTTGTTTTTACTAGGCTAGGGGGAAATGCTGCTTTCTATCTCTCTGCTTTGCAGAGATAGAAAGCAGCACATCCCCACTGACAGGAGAGAGATCCATGTTTTGTTTACACTCAGATCTCTCCCCTGTCAGCTGCTCCACCAATCACCAGCCAGCCATGAATCACTGGTTGGGGCCTGGTGATTAACATCTACGGGAGCCAATGACAGCGCGAGAAGGGCGGCGCACGTGTGCCCCCTACCCAGGGATGCAAAATCATGTATATTTCCATGATTTTGCACAGAGTAGTACATCTGCTATAGGGCGATCTTAAAGTGGTTAAAGAAGGGGATAGGGATAGGCAAAACATCACCCATTGGTACACCCCCTAAACAAAACACTAAGCAGTTAATAAAATGTTGAAAATCCTTACCATGTATGACCTCATCACTGTAATTTAAAAGATAACAGCATCTGCTCTGCCAAGGAGGAGGTATAGCAGCCGGGATTACATCATATCCTCTCTCCTCTCTCTCTGCAGTAAAAGGAAGCTACAGTTCCCATCAACACAGGGAACTGTAGTGAATGTGAGTGGGTACACTATACTTGTACATGTTGAATGTGTTTGAGAGTCTTGTTCCGCCCGCCACTGCAAGTGGGGCTGAATTACATCACTGCTTCCTGGAGAAAGAACTACAGAAGGGATGTGCCGAGACCAGTGGCTGGGAAAATATAGGAGGCATAGCAGCCACTGATCTTACAAACAGGAAACCAAAGTGAATTACCAGTTTGATTTGAAAATGAATAGGCTACTGAACAGAGCAACTACTGAGTGAACCATAAAATGGATGACATATGCAGTGAAGGTAGAAAATCAGCAACAAGGACATGTAAAGAGGTTTTTACCCAGGGTTCTGCTTTAAAGCTGAACTCACACCTTAAACTGGCTATACTTGTAAACACGTCCTTCTTTCTCCCTGTGGGTTGAATAATAGAGCATAAATAAATAATAAAGGATATCTCCATCCACACTATACAGCTCTGGTGGACGAATCTTCTGATGCGGGCTATTGGATTCAGAATATTCGAACGATGCTCGCTGATAATATGTAGGCACTGTTTAGGCTGACAATTTTTTCAGCCAATACCTTCGGCAAAGGTAAAAGTAAAAAATATAATTTTTTCAATCTGGTTGTTGCCGAGAGGGCCAATAACTGAGCAAACTTTGAATAATTTAGCAGAAACTGGCTGAAATTTGATGCATGTATGGCTAAATTTACATTCAGTCACAGTTATACAGATTCCTCTCCTGGACTGTACACTGTGAGCTTCTCTCATGGTGTTCATTATGTAACACCCTCCTATTTAGCTAGGGGGAGCTCTAGCTTCAATTGTTAGACAGAGGCTGAGCAGCAGCCCAGGTATAACAGTCAGAGGGAAGTTAAATTTGGGTCAGAGCTGAGAGGCACTGCAGGCCAGCCCCTCTGGAATTTCCTTGTGCTCTAGAACTTTGGCGAAAGGTCCAGAAGCAGTGGGTGGATCTGAGGTGTGGCTGGCTTGTACTCTTAAGGAATCCTGGCCAATCCCAAACAGGAGGTTTGGCAAGGAGCCAGGACTACCCTTAAAAGTGAGAGAACCTGCTCAGCAGCAAGAAAGTTCGGGTGGAAGATGGAGAAGTAGGCTGAGGTGCAGGAGCCTGGGGGTGGGGGCAGATGGGAGAGGGGCTCACCTACAGGCAGAGGAGCTGGCCAGGAAGAAAGCTTGCACCCTCACCAGCCCCCAGATAGGACCACCTGAGCAGCAAAAGAGGAGGAGCCCAGCTAGAAGGCCTGGTAGTAGCCACCGAATCAATAGCAGCACAGGAGAGGGACAAGTGAGTAAACCCACAACCCCTGGGCCAGATAGGGGAAGGAGCACTCTGGTGGGAAACCAGATTAGCAAACCTGCTGGGACTGTCTTTTATGTAAAGTAGCAGAACTGGATCCCTGTCCGGAGATTTCCTTCAGGCAGCCACATCAAGGAATACTTGGGGTCTGGAGAGGTACATTGGGAGATGCTGGCTAGCTCTCCAACAGAGACTTTGTTGCAGTAGACTTATAAATAGTTCCAGGTTGTTGTCCTCAGTTCATCAGTTCCATTTGGCATCCCATATACCCCTTGCCTTATCCAAGTTGATATCCCCCTAATAAAATATAAAAAAAAAACAAGCCCAAGGGCTGCTTTCTGACTCCTGGATGCAAGTTTGTGGAAAGGCGTGTTGCCTGACTGTGCAGGACTATAGGTCAGGGGTGGGCAACTGTGGCCCTCCAGCTGTTGGTGAACTACAAGTCCCATCATGCCTCTGCCTTTGGGAGTCATGCTTGTTACTGTCAGTTTTGCAATGCCTCATGGGACTTGTAGTTCTACAACAGCTGGAGGGCCACAGTTGCCCACCCCTGCTATAGGGGGATCCAAATATTCAGCAACTCCTAAGGGGATAGTGCTACAATTAGAAGCTGCAACAAGTCATAGAAAGCTTGCTTTATTTCCTGGCTGGAGGACTTTCATCCCCAGCCTGATTGTCCCTGGCTTGCTTCTTTCATTAATTGGCTTTCAGTTCTCTCAAACATGGGGGGCCACAGTATTACATATGGGTGTTACCCAGGGTAGTCTGCATGCAAATACAGTTTGCCTAAGAATGGCCACCCCTCTAGACTGGCATTCACCCATCAAGGTATTTTAAAAAGATCCAGCTCACTGCTTGCATTAAGCCTCCACTGTTGAAGGGACACTCTAGAGAAGTCCTTTGGCACTCAAGGCAATGAGGCCAAAGTAAGCTCACAGCTGCCCCCCCCCCCCCCCCCAAATGTGAATATCAACTCGCCCAGTAAAAGTGTATGTATATTTTTTCTGCCAGCAGGTTCGTTCTGACTTGCTGCAGCTTATAAAGAACATTGTGAGAAGCTCGCAGTGTGCAGTGAAAATAACCTATACAACTGTGCAAGACTGAAGGGAGAGCTGGAGTTCAGCCTTAAAGGCAAAGTGGAAAGATAATTTACAAAAATTCCAACTGTAATGACTTTTGATTGTGCTATTGTGGGACATTTCCAGGCACACAGTTTCAGAAGCAGAGACAGTCCCTGGAAATCAGACTCCAGGTGTGTCAGCAGCTCCTATTCCCAGGACACAAATCTTTCATAGAGAAAATAGAACTCAGAGCACCTGTCAGAATATAGTTTTCACCATCTACGATTTGTACTCGTTTCCACAGGAAATATCTGTTGATTTAAGACTACTTTTTGCATCCTGGCAAGGACAGGGTTATCCATATTCCTGGGGGCCCCTGCAGACTCTGGAATTTTTTGGGACGCTATTTCTCTCCAACCCTCAAGCTATGGATGCATCTGCTGGACCGCACACTGCGATGACAGCTGGATTGTCAGATGTTCTGAGAGATGACAGTGAACAGCAGGGCGGCGACACACAGAGGGGGGGAGTCACCTTTATGCAGTTAGGTAAATGTGCAGCGTATGCAAGAAAGCATGACGTACGCAGCACATTAACCCAGGGAGAGCCAAAGGGGTTATAACAGGCTAAAGGGAATAAATAGTTGTTCAGTAGATATAAACCCCACCTGGGTGACATTGTATTTGCTCTTTACACTGCGTATCATAAACAGTTGCCATTTAAAAAAAAATTAAATTGTGTATTTACCCTATTTTTATCTTTTGTGGCAAATCAGTGCTGCTGATCTCCTGCAACCTCTTTGCAACCATGTCCTATCTACATGCAGTCGAGTGATGGCTCCATTGAATTTCTCAGGGTCAGTTTCCTGATGGTGATAACAGTGGGGCATGCCTGCGTAATGTGTGTCAACACAGCTGATTCCTTGTTGTAAGACTGTGTGACAGAGTAACAGCACAATTACAGACAGAACATTGTCACCCTATATTGGGAAGTGCCTGAAGAAACCTGCTATGTCCATTATGAGGAGTTCTCACCATCCCTCTGCTGTGTTCTTGAGTCTGCACACCTGCTGTGCCCATTATGAGGAGTTCCCACCTTCCCTGTGCTGTGTTCCTGAGTCTGCACCCCTGCTGTGCCCATTATGAGGGGCTCCCACCATCCCTGTGCTGAATTCCCAGGTCTGCACATCTGCTGTGCCCATTATGAGGGGTTCCCAACATCCCTGCACTGAGTTCCCAGGTCTGCACACCTGCTGTACCCATTATGAAGGAGTCCTACCATCTTTGTCCTGAATTTCTGGGTCTACACACCTGCTGTGCTGATTAGGATGATGGCTCCTACTATCCCTGCCCTTACTTCCTGGTTCTGCATACCTATTGCGCACATTTTTAGGGGTTCCCATAATCCCTCCACAGAGTTTCTGGTTCTGTACATCAGCTGTGCCCATTATGAGGAATTCCTACCATTCCTGCACTGAATTCCTTGTTCTGTACACCAGATGTGCCCATTATGAGGGACTCCCACCATCCCTGCACTTAATTCCTTGTTCTGTACACCAGATGTGCCCATTATGAGGGGTTCCCACTGTTCCTGCACTGAGGTCCCAGGTCTGCACACACGCTGTGCCCATTATGAGGGGTTCCCACCATCCCCGTGCTGATTCCCTGGTTCTCAACATTCACTGTGTCCATTATGAGGGGTCTTCACCATTCCTGGGTCTGCACACCTGCTGAGCTCATTTTTAGTAGTTCCCAATTCTGTAGAGCTGCTTGGCCGATTATGAGGAGCTCTTACCATCCCAGCCAGGGGCGGACTGACAACTCATGGGGCTCCCGGGCAATAGGGGATCATGGGGCCCCTGTGTCCTTGCCCAAACTCAAAAAAGCCTATGAAAAAGGTACCAGGGGCATCTCATGGGGCCCCCTGCTGACCCCGGGCCCTCCAAATGGTCAGTCCGCCCCTGATCCCAGCTTTGAGTTTATTAATCATTTTGTGTTGTGGAGAATGTGACAGGATGGGCTAGATCAGTGGTCGGCAAGCCGCGGCTCGCGAGCCACATGCGGCTCTTTACCCAGTCTAATGCGGCTCTTCTGTGTGCCGGGCGCCTGCTCCCCTCCCTCCTCTCGGTCGGCCGCTCCCCTGCCTCCTCTCGGTTGGCAGCCCCAAAAGTCCGCGCGGACCTTTTAATCCGGCCTGCGGATGTGGCTGTCAGGATGTGTGTAGGCGGGGCAGCGTGCCGAACGTGAGGGGAGGGGAGCTAGGCTCCTCTCACAGTCCGCCCTGAAGACCCGAACGGCGCGGGAAGACAGCGAGAGGAACGCAAAAGGTAAGTGAATTGACACGGGGGACTTGGCTTACTAGAAGGGGGGGGGGGGAATAGTACTGTGGGGGATGAAATACTATATGAGGGATGAATTACTTTATGAGGGATGAAATACTATATGGGGGGGATGAAATACTATATGGGGGGATGAAATACTATATGAGGGATGAAATACTATATGAGGGATGAATTACTATATGAGGGATGAATTACTATATGAGGGATGAAATACTATATGGGGGGATGAAATACTATATGGGGGGATGAAATACTATATGAGGGATGAATTACTATATGAGGGATGAAATACTATATGGGGGGGATGATGAAATACTATATGAGGGATGAAATACTATATGGGGGATGAATTACTATATGAGGGATGAATTACTTTATGAGGGATGAAATACTATATGGGGGGATGAAATACTATATGAGGGATGAAATACTATATGAGGGATGAATTACTATATGAGGGATGAAATACTATATGGGGGGATGAAATACTATATGGGGGGATGAAATACTATATGGGGGATGAAATACTATATGAGGGATGAAATACTATATGAGGGATGAATTACTATATGAGGGATGAAATACTATATGGGGGGATGAAATACTATATGGGGGGATGAAATACTATATGAGGGATGAATTACTATATGAGGGATGAAATACTATATGGGGGGATGAAATACTATATGGGGGGATGAAATACTATATGAGGGATGAATTACTATATGAGGGATGAAATACTATATGGGGGGATGAAATACTATATGAGGGATGAAATACTATATGGGGGGATGAAATACTATATGAGGGATGAAATACTAATACTATATGGGGGGATGAAATACTATATGAGGGATGAAATACTATATGGGGGGATGAAATACTATATGAGGGATGAAATACTATATGAGGGATGAATTACTATATGGGGGATGAAATACTATATGAGGGATGAAATACTATATGAGGGATGAAATACTATATGGGGGATGAAATACTATATGGGGGATGAAATACTATACGGGGGATGAAATACTATACGAGGGATGAAATACTATACGGGGGATGAATTGCTATGGGGGATGAATTACTATATGGGGGATGAATTACTATGGGGGATGAATTACTATATGGGGGATGAATTACTATATGGGGGATGAATTACTATATGGGGGATGAATTACACTATGGGGGATGAATTACACTATGGGGGATGAATTACACTATGGGGGATGAATTACTATATGGGGGATGAATTACTATGGGGGAGATGTATTTTCAGTTTTAAAAATGTGGCTCTCAAAATAAATTTCAATCATGGTTTTGGCGAGATTTGGCTCAGTTGAAAAAAAAGGTTGCCCACCACTGGGCTAGATCATGAGGCAAGAAACACCCTAAATCCCCCAGGTGGATTGGAGTCATAGATTATGGCGTAATTTATGAATCTCATTGTTGGAATATTTAAGATGTGTAAGAAGCCAGGGACAGACCCAATTCTCCAGACCCCACCTATACCTAAAATATCACTTTTGGGTGGGCTGATCTTTTAAGGCAATGGGGAATTATACCAACCGATCAGCGACTGCTGCCCTCTGCCAATCCCTTCACTGGCTTCCACTAACCAAATGTATAAAATTCAAAATACGAGCCACATCTTACAAATCCATCCACAACACTGCCCCTAGCTACATCACCAACCTCATCCGCAGATATCACCCAAATCGCCCACTCTGCTCCTCCCATGATATCCTCCTCTCTAGATCCCTCACCACACCTCCTCCCACGCTCCCCTCCAGGACTTCTCCAGAGCCTCTCCCATCCTCTGGAACTCCCTACTACAGCATGTCCGGTCAGCCCCCACCCTGTCTCCTTTTAGGCGATCTTTGAAAACTCACTTATTCAGGGAAGCCTACCCCACCTCCACCTAAGAACTGTACTTGAATCACCGCCACCAGATCATCCCCCGCAGCTATCACCTTTTGTATCACCTCCCCCCTCTTACTTTAGATTGTAAGCTCCACGAACCGGGCCCTCCTATTCCTTCTGTACTGAAATGTATTGTGATTGTACTGTCTCCCTTATATTGTAAAGCGCTGCGCAAACTGTTGGCGCTATATAAATCCTGTATAATAATAATAATTATGAACGCAGAATAGAGTGATTCATCTAGACACCAACAGAATGAATGGAAGGGGTTATTTTATTTATGCATGAACTGCTGAATGAAGTGAAATGTGTCCTGGTAAATGTGAATGGTAAAGTATTAAATGAATATGTGAGACAGTAATGGAAAGATACAACAGGAACATCTAATTGGTTGGAAGGCCTATATGCATGCAGCCATTGGGCAACAGCTGTAGGCAGCCAAAGGGTTAAATAACGGTTTGTGTTTGTCCTGTTGCCCCAGCAGGACAGAGCAGACTCCTCCAGCTGCCCTGTGACCCCTCTGCTCTCACTGCTGGACCCAGGAATGTCAGAGGGCGGAGAAGTTTACAATTACTCCGTCCTTTAAATATCTGCAGCTTAGGGATTTGTAGCCCAGTGTTTAGGGAGATTGGAGCCGGTGGGTGCCACAGCCGTGCCATCTCTGCCTACAGCATGCTTTCCTTCTGTCTGCCACCTCTTATGGTCTGACCTAACCAGGAACTCTTTTTTTTTGGATTTACCCAGGACGCACCCTTCACGCTGACTTGCCTGGTAGACGGTTGCTGGCACCCCGAAAGGTTCCTCACTGCTGCACACTATTCCGTCCTGACACCCCAAAAAAGGTATTGCATTTTCATTTGTTTTTTCTTAAAGCCTATCTAAGCCAGAACACTTAAAGTGTATGTCCAAGCATTTTTTTTTCTAGTTTTGGATATAGTAGGGAAGGATTAGAACCCCTGCCAGGTTTTCATTGCTATTCTTCCTACCTCTCAGTCCTGGTAAAAAACAGTTTACCAGAATGAAATGAAGGAAATTCGGAAACAGGGACGCAGACAGAAATAAAAATCTGCCAGGCCTTACTGCTAAAAAAATAAACACATTTCTATTTCTGTGTGTATTACTGTCAAAGAATTCCACCCATGTCCTGTCTGGTGAAACTGTTATCGGGATAGTAGCTGAAATGAGTTTATTAATTTCAGGTACTTATATAGCACCGTCAATTTACACAGTGCTTTACATATATATTGTACATTTACATCAGTCTGTAACCCTCAATGGGTGTACAATCTAAGGTCCCTAACTCACATTCATACATATGCATACTAGGGACAATTTATACAGGATCCAATTAACCTACCTGCATGTCTTTGGAGTGTGGGATGAAACCCACACAGGCACAGGGAGAACATGCAAACTCCAGGTAGGTGGTGCCATGGTTGGGATTTGAACCAACAACCCCCTAGTAATGCCAGGTGGAAGTGCATTCACATCAGTCCCTAACCCTCAAGGGGTACACAATCTAAGGTCCCTAACTTACATTCATACATATACTAGGGAAAATTTAGACAGGAGCCAATTAACATACCAGCATGTCTTTGGAGTGTGGGAGGAAACCGCTTACACCCACGCAGGCACAGGGAGAACATGCAAACTCCAGGCAGGTGGTGCCATGGTTGGGATTTGAACCAATGACCCTAGTACTGCCAGGTGGAAGGGCTAACCAACCTAAGCCACTGTGCTGCCTAACTCTCTCAGGTCCCTGGAAAGCAGGAAAACCCTCACAGGGCTTGTAATCCTTCACCATCCTATCCAAAGCTAAAAGCAAAAGCTTTGGCTGGATACACGCTTTAAACCAAATATATTGTTGCACAGAATGTTGAATCCTTTATCGATTCAATCTAGCATGGTGAACTTACCAGCCAAATGTTTATACAAGCACTTTCCAATGGTGCAACACTTGCTCGGTTCAGTTGCAGCGTTGTCGGCCTTTTCCTGCACTGTCACGAATTGGACTACAAGCAATTGTGGCAAAACAGTGTGCTGATGTTCTCTATCACTAGAGCATGCATACTGTACATCCACAGGAAATTCATACAAAGAGGATGTGATAGAAACCATGAACTCTCCAAGGGCTTGTTCACATGGGCGGCCATCCACCTAAATACAGCAATGCAGTCCATTATGAGGGGTCCTCACCATTTCTGGGTCTGCACACCTGCTGAGCTCATTTTTAGTAGTTCCCAATTCTGTAGAGCTGCTCGGCCGATTATGAGGAGCTCTTACCATCCCAGCCAGGGGCAGACTGACAACTCATGGGGCCCCCGGGCAATAGGGGATCATGGGGCCCCTGTGTCCTTGCCCAA